GTCCCATTTAAACCATTATTTAATCTAGAAAACACACTAGTGGTCAACCAGCACGGGGTTTGCGATGGCTGATATAGTGGCGACTTATAATACAGATATAAACACATGATACATTTTAATTAATTCATAGTAAATTGAGATATATACAATCTTGCGCCCTGGCTGATCTAGCCTGAAAAATAAGCTTTTTTACAACACTATTTGAGCAAAATAAACAACATTTATGACACAGTTGTTGTCAAATTTCGTTGGTGATTTCAAACATGAAATCTAATCGCAAGCTTAGTAAACACTTTTGGAGAATTGTATGTTTCCCCATTCAAAGAGATAGGAGCTGCACTTGCATGCCCGAGAGGCATTTCAAAGATGGCCGCCAAGTGACATGACTTGTCTTAAAGGGACTTTGTTTATACTCTTTAAATGGTTAAGCTCACTGTTTCACCCCCCCCCCATTTGGAAATGTAACAGCACACATCCCTTAACATGACATATGATGTATCATTCATGTCTGTAGCACAAACTGTGCTGGGATGAACTGCGTTCCAAGGTAAAATTGAGAACAAATTCTAATCCTAAGTATGAACAACAGTAATAGCGATACTAGCCTTAGCAAAATGAACACAAAACTGCATAAACATGTACTCCCACCCAGTCATGCACACACAGTCATATCTGTGTACATTTGCACAGTAAGCAGTTCCTGACCGCACATACTGTACAGTACGCATATATAATCATTCCCAAACACACGCTCATAAACATGTCAAATACTCAAACAAACAAGTGTGAATGACTCTACTTGTCTGCAGAATGGACACTTTTCAGATCTGTGCAATCAAATGTAACTGTAAAGTGCTGTGCAACTGATGATATGTATGCTATAATGTAGTGTGACGTGTACATAAGGGACAAGTCAGTACTGTTACAACACATGTCTATCTGTAGAGAATGTGAGCTCTTGAGATGTGTGTTTTTCTTCTGGCCAAGTCAACTGTGCTCCACTGGAAACTATTGCAGGAACTGAAATTAGACGCTTGTGAGAACATCAAAGCATTAAACATATTAAAGATGTGACTGCAGATGATTGTTAAATGGTTGCTTTAGTGCAAATTAAGTTCTTATGAAATGCTGCTGCCATATGTTTTGTGGTGTAGCAATTTAACCAGCACCTGTCGGGTCTCGCGTCTGATCACCTGTCTCTGTGTTTGTGTGTTGTGCGTGAGTTGTTTTGACAGCTCGCCACGTGAGCATGTCAGCATGATCGTTGTCCCCGCCCTCCGTGTTTCACACCTGGGTCTGGTCATCTCATTAGCTCCCCCTTATAGCTCCTCGTGTTTCTCTGTATGTTGTCAGTTTGTTGTGATTCTTTCCCGTGCTCTGACTGTCCTAGTATTATCGCTCACCAGTTCTGTCTTGTCTCGTCCAGGCTCCAGTGCTCGTAGCAGTCTGTTTTGTGTCCCGCACCTCTCTGTGCGTTCAGGAACCGTGGGCTACCTCCGGCATCCGCCTAACCTGGGACTCCGCGGTCTCGTTGTTGGGCTTCTCAGCCTCTCGCTCGGATAACGGGCTGCCCCTCCGGCTCCGTCTCCTCTGCCGCTGTTGCGGCTTGTTCCAGCCACTGCCCTCCACCCATCGGTGTGGTTGGGGTTTCCACGACCTCACGAACTGTGCTCATTAAAGTCCCTTTTGAACCCGCACCTGAATCCAGCCTCGTTGTTTCCTAACAGACCCTGACAGCACCATTCTGATATAAAACATGGGTTTTCTCAAAAAATTTAATTCTGTTACTCATTTACAATCCCATATTATTTTTTGTTCGTCCATGAAACACAAAAGGAGAAATTTAGCAGCTGTTTTCTACACAGCAAAGCTTGATGGCGCATTTATACTGTAAATGATTTGGGAGCTTGAGCAGAATTATCAGTGAACTTCGGTCTGTTCTTCACCCAAAGCTATAATATGGCTCCAGACGACTTGTAATTCAACACATGAGTTATATGGACTACTTTTATGATTATTTTATGGTGCTTTTATGATGCCGATGATTTCCGAGGTTAGAACAACAAGACAGTAAGCAAACTATGATGGAATCTTGAGTGAATGTTTCCTGAAATTATAAGTAGTGTTTGCTTACATGCATGTTTTCGCTTTTTGGTTTAAGTATTGTAGCTTTTTCCGCCTGATTAATTGCCCATTTTTATATTAGACTCGTCTATCTGCTCAGACTGATAAGGTCAATCCTTTAATGGTGCATTCAGTCTGATAACCTCATGATCATAAGTGCCAGCAAATATGTGTGTCAGTTTGCAAATTAATTTCCACATATGAATCACTGACAGATTTTCATAAAAAAATATTACGCTATATTACTTTTTCAATTATGCATTGGTCTGCCGTGCCTTTCAGTCCCAAACACTGACATCTGTGTGTATTCATTATAAACGAATCCTATAGCATGAAACATAAACAAAGATTTTACACTGTCACGTTTGCTTTAAGAGAACTCTGATCACCGAGCACAAAAAGAATCAGACACTTGCACAAAATTAAACAATGATCTCATGGTCTTGATATCTCCACGGCAATGTGTGTTTTGCAGCCAAGCGCTGCGTGTCCATAACCAATGGGATTAAATCTCTCAGGCCCGGATTAAATCTCTCAGGCCCGACTGCATGACAGCAGCACACACACTCACGCAAGCAACACAACTTCTATTCTGGTCTCTGAAACATGGTGGAACTCCACCACGACTTCTGGAGCTGGAATGCCTGTAACGGCATGCCGAAAACATTCCCGAAACCACACCAAACTTCTCATCTACTCCAGAGCTGAGGATCCTGAGAAAAAGTCCTTGCTTATCTCTCAATCAAGCATAATGACTCAGAGTAATCACATAGTTATAAATAGCTTTTCTTCGCTGCCCATTTCCTGCAATCAGACCGACCCATTATCTCCCAGAAGTCATCAGAAGAACCAGCTGAAGATCTGATGAGTTGGGTATTCTAACTCAGGGCATCCACCACTTCAGTTACAACTGAAAAAGTACAGTAAAGAGAAAGAAAGTCATTTCATACTTTTTTAATGCATTTTACTTGCAGACAGACTCTCTATCTACTATAACACATCAAAGAACTGGAGGAGACAAAACAGTCTGACTGCAGTCCAAGGAAAAGCTTAAATATCAATTAATCAACCACAAAAACTATTCCATATGGGAGAAGGACAGAGCCATTCACACTCTTGATGGATGGATGAGCATATATCAGACTTTGTCTGGTGATCTCTGCAGTCATCTGCAAAGCGCTGCTGTCCGGTATGACATCTGAACTATGTTTGCCCTGTCTGGAGGATCAGGATCTGTTACTGATGTGCTTCTATTCCCAGACAGCAGCAGTGTGATGCCATTAACATGAATGATTCGTTTTTTCACCTTCGTATGTATGATATAACATACACATAGTTTATTACACATGTATAACATGGTGTGCACTTAAAATCAATGTGTTAATTACACATTTATAACAACCAATTTACCGACAGGCTGGCAAGAGGTTTCGCTAGAATCTGAATGCATTTAAAGAATAGGACGTGACAAAGGGACGTAACCTGCATGAATGAACATACTAATATATACACACCACGCATACGGGGTTAATGTCTGCCCGTGACCCACGGCCCCAGTGATACCCGCAGATTAGATTTCATATGTATATGTACCCTGAAGGTACTACTTTGAACCTTTTATGTGTAAATAAGGTACAAAGGTGCACATTTAAAGGTACAGTGTACTTTCAAAACGCTATTTCTCACAGAAGTGAAAAACGAAGCTCCGGGTAAGCAAGAGTAAAACCTCCTAGGACGACTGCTTTTTGAACTTTTAAAACAAGTAATTGTTATCTGCAAATATGTTCTGACAGGTTTTCACCATGCCATCTTTCAAACACATGCTTTAAACTCTTTCTCGCTCTCTCCAGCTGGGTTGCGTCCCGGGGGGTGTATTACTTTAGGGACAGATGTCCTGAGGGGGTGCTGGTATTGTCTAAAGCAGACTCTAAACTGTTATTATCTCCCCGAAACCCTCAACCCATGGGGGACTAATTTAGGTCAGGAGTGGGGGAGAGCGACGGAGAGCAAAAGGTCTCCTCACAACAACAACATAACCGAAATATACCCTTTCAATACACACTGAAAAACCATGTGTAGGATTGACTTGAAACCAATTTCCACTCGGAAACTGCTGGTTCATTTCACAAGCAACACTGAATTAAACATGAACATTTGAAGTAAAAAGACTGACATTTTCTGAGACGTACTACAATAATTAGTTTTATTTACAAATAATTATTCATTGTACCACTCACTTTTATGCCAAATCTTATGTAAACACATGCTCACAACAACACACACATCTACTTAGCTATTTCAATCTAGTTATAATAACCCCAAACAAGCTAAACCCTACCTTTAAAAGAACAAGGTATTATTGACTTTATTTATGAATCATATTTACCTTTGACAATGTCTTCCAATAAAAGATTGGTCAGATCTACCTAATGTCTGGGGGCAATTTTGTGCCCAAAGTACAGCAACCCACACACACACACACACACACACACACACATACACATATATATGCACTTACAAATATTTCAGTCAGTCGAGGTTGTGTAGAGGACTTCTGTTTGGTAAACGAGCCCACCAGCACAAACCAAGCCAAATAAATACTCTCAGGTCACAACTTGCCAACACACACATACAGACATTTAGTTAAACAGAGAGTGCCAGAGTGTTCAAATGTTGCCACACACACATTCACAGGAAGCTTTCGAGAGCTGCTATGACTTTAGAAGCCATAAAGACACCTTTAATTATGAGATTCTGCACATTAAACATTAACCAACATGTCTAAGGAAACCAAGTGCACACAAAAGAACAATAAAACACGACAAAGACTTGTTTCTCATCTGTTTATGATGTTTAATGCAAGTGTGATCTCTTACCCGTAGGCATTGCAGCTCGATCCAGATTTGATCACATATCCACTTAGTATTCCAGACCAGTGCCACACACACACACACACACACACACACACACACACACAACACACTCCTCTAATCCTTCAATTCACTTTACATTCTCCCTGAGACACACAGGATAGCTCCGTCTGTGTGAATGATACTGCACACACACACACACATTCAGTAAATCCTCAGTTCACACACACATAAGGTCTGAGCCACACCACAACGGTCCTGACGGTCTGCCTGTCACTCACGCATTGAGC